ATGTGGAGGTTTTTCATCAAATGCGATTTGTAACAGACCTGGCTTATCCTTCATGTCACCTGCCCCGTAAACTACTCACCCACGGCTGTGTAGCAAAGTGGTTAGGTCGCCACTCCTCATTACTCGAAATCGTAACTGCATTTAACTCTGGATAAGGTGACGCCTTGATAGTCAATGCTAGGCGAACTTCAGTGGTATCGTGAAGCATACTTATTTCTTTTTAGGAAGACTAACTGTCCGTCCTTAAACCACCTTAAGCGATCCATATTGATAACTTATTGCTTTCATTGAATTTGTTTATTTTATAAAATAATAATTTTTTTAATTTTCACTTATGTAACTTTTTTACCTTATATTACTTTTTCTTGGTAGAATCAAAGTTGGTTCATCATATACGTCCTATGACCCTGAAAAAAGGTTATATTTCTCAACTAGTGTATTTGTTGATTTTTTATCTTTTTAAGAATGTATTTGAGCACTTTATGAATACGCCTGCTTGAATCCAACTTATACTCTTTTATATTTACTTCCTTTGTGTAGCATGACATGATGCTTAGGGTTATTTTGGATCCTTATCAGGACTTACATATTAATTACTATTACCTCTGCTTACCTTTTATAATTGCTGAATTTACAATAATATGTCTCATATTTGGCAGTGCAGCTGCTTTATTTTTATTTTAATCTACATCACTGCTGGAATACCTCTTATTTCGCTCGAAGAGGCGAGTGAAAGGGATTGATAAGTTGACCTCATTGGAAACTGTTAGGTGATTGCCTTCGAGCCGTGACGGTAGATTTGTGTAAATAAGTCCTCGGCTCACCGTCCTACGACTACGATGAGCCCTTGTTGAGATTTCTTCCTTTATGTGACGTAACTGGTGGGGGCAGGCACGTATAAAAATTAGATTTCCATAGGTCTCATCGGTACTCTAACCATAACAGTGCAGCTTATAATCTCGACATATTAACCACTTCGCCGCATTGCCACGAGTGCCCTTGGATCACAGGGCAGATCCGAATTTTCCTATATCAGATTCTGTGGTGGGATTTTCCATGAAGCAAACTTATATTTGCTATAGCGATCGACTACATAACTTATTTATCATTTATAAGTAGGTTTTCCAAACTACTAGTATATCATTTGTGTATTAAGTGTATTCACCTTATTTCGTTTAAGATTATAATGGACTAATAGTTGAATTTTCTCTCAATAATATCTGTAGACCTTTCATTTCCACTGTATTTCGCATAGCATTGCTTCCCAAAAGGTGTTCTCGTCTAGGCGGGACTGCATCTTCGACCTCGCATAGGCCTTGTCAACATCCCCAGTGGGACTCAAATCATGACAGTATATCATATAATCGCGGCACGTTAACAGAATGTGAAATGGGAAATCCCTGACCTTTGAACCTCATATCTGCCCTGTGACCCAACGGCACTCATGGCAATGTGGCTTAGCGGTTAAAATTTTGAGATTATACACTACATTCTCATGTTTCGAGTCCCGCTGGGAGTGCTGATAAGACCTATGCAAGGTCGAAACCGCAATTCACCCTGGGTGAGAATTCCTATTTGGAAAGCTAGGCTATATGAAATTCAATGAAAGCATAAGCTCTCATCATTGTGGGAAAATTCACTTCATCTCCATATCTTGCTGAGCGTATGGCTTTAGACCAGACTGCCTGGTGTCCTCTGTGGGCTATGTTAGGCCCGTTCTGAATTGGATCCACAAATCTTTGCATGGTGTTTTACGTTCATATATACTCTTATATATGGGTCGACAGGTCTCCCTCGCCAGGCAACCCGATTTGGGGAGCGAGTCCGAAATTTTTCGAAAAGATGGCATAACTCTTTATAAGTTTTCCTGATGTCCCACTTGAGAACGATGTAAAAGGACTTCAACTTTTGATGAGACTAACTTACAACGCCATTCCACTTGTCTCTTCACACGAAATTAAAGCTACTCCAACATCTCTCTAGTAAGGGATTATTCGAAAATCACTGCTTCATCTTGACACGATTCATTTTTTGTCATGATTAAGGTCACGGCCGATGGTACCTACATCACTCAGACTGCACTCACACTTCGTAACCCCGCTACCTCTTATGAACGATGTGACACTGTTCAGCGGCCTGTGCTACAAGCGGCCCTTTTTGATGCAGACTACATGTCGGCCGTCGTGCTTGCAGTAGCCTTGGTGAAGCTTTTCTGTCGTTTTCTTGCTCAGATATCCGCTAATGAAACAGGTTATGTTAGTGAAGCAGATATTATCAAGCGTGGCCGCAAGATCAACTCTTTTGCCGCCGAATCAATGCTGATTATCTCCAGCGCCATCCATTTGGCAAAAAGTCAGCTCTTATCTCACCAGGTCAATCCAGACCATCTAGACCGAATGTGGATCTGCCTAAAGGTAAACGCTTTGGCCTAAAGCTTTTCTAATGATTTATATTAACAAGCTCGTAATCTCCCTCTTCAGAAGCTCATTCATTTTATGTTGAGACATTTGGCCACTCCTTATATAAATTCCTAAATTAAGTGTTTATTCTATTAAATGCATTTTATATATTAATGTACTCAATTTTATCCCCTCTTTCAAAGTTTATAGTTGAAAGTAATTATGCTCTTTTTTGTCTGGCATCTTATTAGTCAGATTATCTCGATTAGATTTAAAATATTTCACCTGGCACAAAAAAGCTTCGTCATCACCATATGACATCCAGATATAATTTTTAACCTCCTTATTTTCATCTAAACTCTCAACACCTATATTTTAGCTGGCTGATATAAGTGTCCGAGCTAACTCCTAAATGTACTTGATGAGATCACATCTGAGGAAGTTTATCGGGCTATTAAATATTGTTTCTTTTTATATTGGACATAGGACTTTGAACGAAAATTAAGCATCGATACTACTAATAGTATATTTTTTGGTATAGCAATGCCATTCTTCCGAAACGATCGCTACTTTGCTAAAAATTATAAACCTGGTGTTGCTACTTTCGCTATATAAAAATAGAGTAGGTTAAAAAACCTACTTTGACTTTTTGCTCTACCTCTGTCTTTTAAGGTAGTAAGCCTTTGGTGCTTTACAAACACTATTCTTTACTGCTCTTTTATATGTGCATGCGCATCGTCAAACTCTCTACTGTCATAGACATTAGCCGATCGAAACCCTCGCATCCTTCACGCATTCTCTGAAGTTTCCCGCAACCGATTGATTGACATGCTACTATCTATTGATACAGAGCGAAAATCAGCAGCAAAACGACGTATTCAGGCCTGTAGACAGCTTAAATCACAAGCGGATCAGTTATCCAACCGGCCTGATGCCCCAGTGAAGTTCCAATTACTCTCGGGTAAGTCATATGGGCATATATGGGTAAGTTGCATCCCAAAGTATGATAATATTCACTCACCATTAACCATGATTTTCCCCAGGTCAGATAACGGCTACTAAAGTCTTGGGAGGAACAGGTTGACAGTCAAACACATTCGCACAGAATAGGTTTCGAAAATATCAATAAATCTCGAATGAAAGTTCCAGTCACTCTAGGTAATGAAGGACTGATGATTGAATCTTCCCACATTTATATGAATAGGCCTCACGTTTTCATTGAATTCCACTTAGGCTTGCCTACCATAGTGTATTTTTCTCCAGAGTGTGCAAAGTTTTATCCTCGCCTGGGTCTCGTCAGCGACCTAAGGTGATTCGAACTCTTATTCAAGACTTAATGATATTTTCGTGGCCTACTCTATACGAATTTAAGTAACATAGTAGATTATAATGGCAATAAAAAGTTTGATCGAAGATATGAAGACCAAGATGGTGTGGCCTTTTGTGTGGTCACAGTCTCCTTTCGTTGTATAGAAGTTGTTTGACCTTGTTTTCGCAACTTGGTCATAATGGTCATAATTGTGAAACTCACTGACGATTCCGGCGAAACGTCTGGGAATGTACCACGTCCACGGTCCAACTTTGAAAATAATTATGCATACAATGGACTCAGGACAAGGTGCGTTTC